ATGTACGTTTTAATCATCCATGTGAGTTATTTAATAAGCAATTTCTTATGAAATTATTTATTTGTTTTAGAATTTTTTCTAGTGTTAAATTTTTAAATAGAACAATGTTATCTGAAACTAAACGTAAAAATAGGAAATTATCAATTCTAAAACATTTATAATTAATATTATTAAATTTTGTGTCATATTTTACCATTTTATACAACTTTTTAGAATTAATTGACTAAAAAAATTACTAATATGTATAAAGGTATCTACCGTATAAGTACCTACTTAATATTATACAATACACATTTTTTATTTTTGTATATATGTACCTAGGTAGTTGTAACTTGTAAATATATTATATACATGTAATTGTAATAAATTTGTTTAAACCTACAATGTATTTTGAGATTTATTTGTTCAATGCACCTATGATCTAAAATATATATTTCATGATCTACACTTACCTATACTAGACAAAAAATGTTATGTTATTAATTTAAAATATACATTTTATAATTCAAATAAAAATTAACTAACACAGAAATTGAAAAATCAGTTATTCACTTTACAGAGTACAGACTTCATATTTTGGAACATAAACACAAAAGACACTGAGGCGAGTAAGCAAGTTGCAAACTTGCAACTTACAACTTTATTACTTATTAGGTTAGGCTAAAGCACGATTATAAAGATTCTTTATAATCGTCGGCTAAAGGTAATTACTAATTGCCTCTGTTCAGGGAATATCAGTCGCGCTAGAAACAAAGAATAATGGGAATTATCTTTCTACCGGCAGCACTGATATTCCACCAGGTGTTGCAAATCTGTGCCCCATAAGAACCCATGTTAAACTGAAAAGGTGTCTCTTCTGGTTATTCTGTGTTATAACTTATACCGAAAAATAACAGTCAATAACAGTAACTGTTATTTTGATAGTAACAGTAGCAGATTATAACAGTTATCAGTATTGATAACATAAGTGCGTGTTCGGCTTCGGGCCCCCTTGTCGTCCATCACCGTATATAATCACGCTCGTCGCGTCGTTGAGTAAGTCCCCGTTCGCCGATCCTGCTGTCACCGATGTGCCGATTAGTGCAACAGTCAGTTGGAACCAGCACCTATTGCTATAGATCGTTTGCCTACTGCTTGCCTCAAGAATGGCATATCCATGACAACCTCAACAGCTAGATGACTGTGTCCATCAGACTGAAGATCTAAATAATTCTCTTGATTGTTTATGTTTATTATGGCGGTTTCTAATAATTTCTAATAATTTAATTGAACTAATCATAATAATACTTTTGTTCTTTTTACACTTCCATTTCTACACCACCTCTATGTGTATCTTAAATGTATTGTTTTCATTATTATCAGAAGGGATACATTGTCTAGGCTACAATTCATTTTATTTATGTAAAATAATTACTTACATTATTACTGATTTTTATATGATTATATTAAGTCACATGTTATTGATATGTAGTCAAACATTATAATATCACATATGACACATATGTTGAATGCTTATAATCTTATAACATTTGAGATGCTACTATTAAACTTTATTCATTCTTTAGTGTAATTCACTATTACATGGACCTTAAATTTTACTAACTAATTGATTGTACCATGCTCTCTATGCACTGTTTTTAATTTATTTAATTATAAATGTGTTGTACTTATTACATTCCCTATCGGTGAGCTGATTTTTATATGCTTATTAAGTCACATGTCATTGATATGCAGTTAAATATCATCATAATAATAACACATGCAACACATACGTTGAATATTTAAGCTGATAATATTTGAGATTGTTTTTATACACACATTACAACGGACTTCCTATGATACTGTAGGTAGTTCAACCACTCCTTGAGATTGCGGCACCAGGCGGTCAACTGGAAGCGGAAGTGGCAATCCCCGGTAACAACGGGATGGAGATAGAAGTTGTCGAAGTCCAAGTGGAAGATGTAATGATGGACCTAGCTGAAGAAGAAATGATACGAGAGAAAGTGGTACAAGATGACATTGAGTATGTGGATTTACTTCTTGCTGACGCAGAGGCCGAATTTGAATTCAGGGACGCACTTGACGTTTTACTACCAGACGTCAATGAAGAAGTTAGTAAATACATCTTATTAAAATTAAAATAAACATTTATAACATTAAATTCTTAATAACTGTGCATTTTAATTGCAGTTCGTACAGATTCCTCCTGTTGTACCGAGAGCACGTGCGCCCTTGAGAGACCGTCCGGCTGGCATTCAACACGAACTTCCAGATCAGCATGGCATAGGACCATTGAATGTTGTCTGCCCGCACAGTGGTTCCCACCATTCCTCCTGCGAGCGTACTTCAACGGCTCATTTTTCTACGTTTTGCAAATAATGGTCAAATGGCTGTTACAGGAGACCGCGTTTTGTTTCCACCACCAGAGTTATTAATTCGTTTGTTGGTTAATGATTCGCAGGTACCAAAACACTTTCGGAAAGAAATCCGCCGGTATAACAACACTCTGGCATTTGCGGCTTTCTCCACTGATCTGAGCCCAAGACGTTTGCCTGATCAGGGACCAAGAATATTCTCCGTTCACGGGCAATTATATCGTAGTAATGATGTTGTCAGAAATGAACTAATGCAACCAAGGTATTGTGAGTTGTATTTTATTGAATCAGGGGCAGAAAATCAGATTCGCATGGCACAACAGTCACGTGAACGACCACTATTGGAGAACTTGCTTGCAGACTTAGACAGACTGTTACGGCGAATCAATCCATTTGCGGTGGCTTTCGAGTAATATATATTACTTTAAATTATTAACATACACATAATCTAGCAAAATGCGTACATCACCCTCATTAACAAACTATATTTGTAATCAAATAAAAATATTACTTCAAGTTGTAGTTTGTTGAACACACATTACATTAGTATAGGTATTGCACTTTTACATATTTTTATATGATACAACGAATAACTTTGGTTAACATTTCATTTAATACACATTCGTGTAGAAAGTAGTGCAACATTTTTGTTTAAAAATTTATAGTTTACATTATAATTACTACTCACTCATTAAAAAACCTATTTTAAGTTTAAACGATACGATTAAACTCCAACAGCTACTTACAATTTCATATTAACTATACTATAAAGTATAAATATATATATGTCACATAAAATATATAACGATATACATATATGTTGATTTTACTTTTTCTGTGGACATTTCCATTACAGTGTGTATTGTACCCAAGCGACATTTTTACTTAATACTTCTATGCAAAATTGTATTTCATAGTTTCCAGTATGTGTGCTTAGTAATATGTCTTTAACAGTATCTGTACATTTCCGAATTACATACAATATACTGTGCTGTAATATTTATCAGGTTGCACTTGCCTATGGATAACATTTATTCTTTATTCTTCTACTGTACACACATGTGGCTTTAATAATAACAAAATATTATTTTCTAACAGAAACATGCGACAAGTATGGCAAAGGGAACAAGATGGTGATGCGGCCAATCCAATGTTGCAACCGAAAAGGGTGACCATGCACATCGTCGCCGACCCGAACAATGACCCACGGCGATACAATCAACCAGCTGCTCATGTGAACGAGGTAGCAGTTGTCTTTGTTGGAGAAGATGGTCTACCACCAGGAAACCTCGATCTGGTCATCTATGACTCGAACCCAGTTGACCCAAATCACCGGATGCAAAGCATATCAGCTTGTTCCGTACAGTTTGGCGATGCTATAATCGTCAACCGGTTCGCCGATAGCATCGGCTCGCGTATCGACCATACATGGGAGTCTGCCTTGACCCACCGGCGTACGCAGTTCGTCTCCGTGTTTAAAAACCGTATGTGTCCGTGACCATTGACCATATTATTTACCCGCGCGCTTCCATACGCACATTGGTGAAATAATAATTGCGCCTCCATACGCATATAACTTCGTGCGACGTTCCTATATTACCGACCCGCGCTTACATACGCATATGGGTGATTAATATTCGTGCCTTCATACACATGTACGCCGTGCTGCCTTTTGGTGTCGTAACCAAATATCTGGACACACCAGGGAGCACAATCATCAGCGGTCCAGTCATCATCACTTCATCTTCATCCTCTCCAGGTCGCGTCCATCTGTGGTTGTGTGAGTCGGCTATACGCCATATAATTGTATTGTCTTTTTAGTATTATTATTATTGTCGTTTGAGACCTTTTCCTATTATTATTACACTACTAACAAAACTAAACCATATTTGTTTGTACCATATATTATTTATAATTGTAGTACTTGCAAAATATCATTTATCATTTTATACAATATTTATCGTTGTTATTATTGTATTCACCTCTCTCAATACCTCCTAATGACGCTGTAAGGCTCACCATCACCGGTAATTTATTATTTCACGCGTGGCCAACAATCTCTTAACATCATCTCGAGACTTGGTACGCATCACAGCTGGCTCACCTCATGCAGATCCAATGCTGTATCCATTGCTCTTCCCACATTCAGAAACCGGCTGGCATTACAACCTGCAACAAGAGGGCGTCCGCCGGAACGCAGTGCGTGTTCGGAACTCTATCAGAGAGTTTGCTTCTTATCGCCTGGCCATCAGATACACCGGAACCAATAGCAATGGGAACGAAGGCCATACGTTTAGTTTATTACCACATTCGTGGACAGTTGAAATTTTCGGTAGGGGAAAAAACTACTTTTAAAAACGCACATAATTATTACTGCTATAGCAGTAATAATTTGGGTACTGCTATAGCAGTACTGTCCCTCTGCATTGCTATTTACAACTATGTACATCACTGCACTGCTATAGCAGTATAATTTATATTGTTTAATAATAAAATAAAAATAATAATTCAACTCAACCTGGTTTATTTTGTATGACAAATTTTGAAAAAGAATAGTATGAAATTGAAAAAAAAATTAAAATATAGTCTTATATAAATTGAACCAATAAAATATAAAATAATTTTTTATGACATATTTTTGTGAAAGTCTTCGAAACATGAACCGGGACACAGTGGAACATTACAAGCTTTACATTGATACTGGGTTTGTTTCCTCACGTGTTTTTTTGTGCACATTTTGCAGTTTTTGAAGTAATGTTTTCTAAAATACAGTGGAGGTAATGGGATTTTTTCTTGATAGTGTTGTCCTTCTTCTGACATTGGTCGTTTGTTTTTTGGATCTTTTGATTTTGGAGCATTAAAAATTTGATTAGCTGTTACATCTATTGGAAGGTTTATCATATTTTTTATTAAAATATCGCGAAAATCTTTAAAAGTCATAGAATTGCAGCCAAAATGTTTTTTGTATAGGTAAAAACTATTCCACACTGTAATATCTAACAGATGAAATAAAACTTTTTTATACCATCGTGATTGTTTTCGTGGGCTGCTGTAATATTTTACCATTTGGTCTGACCTATCTATACCACTCATATTATTATTATACTGAATAATTTCATTTGGTTTATTTTTTTCATTTCCGAATCGATTTTTGGATGATAAAAGCTGTGGATGGTACTTTGTAGGTATCGCTAATACATCCCTTTTATCTTTCCACTTAGATACATAAATGTTTTCTTGTCGACGCCAAATATATTCCCCAGATTTTAACTTTTTTGTGGTTACACATTTTGGGTTGCCTTTACGGTTACTGCGTAGTGTTCCTGTTGTATGTGTTTTTCGATTTAGGAGTTCTCTTGAAAGACTTATACTATTATAATAATTATCCATAAACACTGTATGCCCTTTATCAAGAAAAGCTTCCAAAATACGAAAAACTAAACTATTTATTTTTGATGTAGAACCAACTTTAATTTCTTCTCTTTTTCCTTTATACATCTCCATGTTTAGAACAAATCCATCGGGTGTACAGAGCTCGAAAAACTTTATACCATACCGTACTTTTTTAAGTCTCATATATTGTCGAAATAAAAGGCGACCACGGTGTAGTAAAAGCGATTCATCAAGTGATAGACATTCATATGGAATATATGCTAGTTGAAAATTATTTATAAGTTTTTTAAAAATTGGTTCAATTTTTTTTATTGGATCATTTGTACTATTTACTTTTTCTGTGTCATAATATTCAACACTAAAACATCTTAAAATCTGTTCAAAACGTCTACCCGACATAGTTCTTGGTATGATAGGGTGATAATATAGCGGATTGTATGAGAACATATCTCTGATTACGGAAAATTTCATAGATCCAGAGAGTAAACAAATGGCCAAAAATTTATTTATTTCCTCCCCATCAACTTTTTTAAACTCAGCTATACGACAGTTTTTTTTATGTGGACGACTTTGTGAAGTCAATTTTACACCATAATTATTTGTCGAGGATACAACCATATCAGTGATTTCACGTGTCCATAACATATCGAATATCTCTAAAGGGTTATCTCTTGCGGAATCAGGTATATTTAGCTTTATTCCTGACATACTACTGTCAAATTGGAAGTCTGGTATATCTTCCCAATTCTCATACCATTGATCATCATTACCATTATTATTAGCATTATTGTAATCATTATTATCTGAATCACTTGAGCTTACCTCGAACGATTCATTGCTCGTGTCACTCCCAGTATTTGTATGAGACGGCCCTGCTCTTGATAATGAATCTTGTCTCGAACTTTGTAACGAAAAATCTGGGTCAACATCTGAATCATCTTGATCAGAATATTCAGTAGAATCAAATGATTCATCTAAATATTTACGCACTTTTTCGATATTATTACGTGACATATTCAGTCGCACGCGACACCGACAACGTACGACGTTTATAATCGAACTGAATATTTATATAAACAACACTTCGTATCGATTTATTATGGTTCAAATATATGGCGTAGACAATTGTATACTATTGTATTGTAACATTATAAAGCGATAATGATAATGATATCGAATATAGGGTTCATAAAAATAAAAATAAAATAAAAAAAAAACCCAAGAAAAAGGAACGATAAATAAATCTAAAAATAAAACATATATAATACAGTGCCCAATTTTCTGAAGTATTGCAGTAGGACAGTAAAACATGTTGTTTCATATGAAACCATTGTAATTATTACTGCTATACCAGTACTGTGTTTATTTTAACAGTTTATATTCTACTGCCATAGCAGTAGTGATATATGTACATCAATTTTTAAAATTACTGCTATAGCAGTAGTTGTCCACGAATGTGTTACACGCAGCTGGTTTTTTGTTACAGCCATACATAGGTATGTGATCAGTACGTTCGCGTGGAAGCGAGCAATCTACGTTATATCCGAGACAACCAGAAAGCACTCTTTGTTGACGCCTATCAAGGCCTTCTGGACCATATTAACCAACAGCTCCGCCTAGACGAAATCGATCCTATACATGAAACAATGTTACCACGACGCAATGTCCATTGTGCGTATGTACGGAAAGCCTGACTTATTCATAACATTTACGTGTAACCCTAGGTGGCCAGGGATAGTAGATAACATTCCGCGTTGGTTGAAGGCAACCGACAGGCCTGATTTGGTGGCGAGGGTGTTTCACGTAAAACTGAAGGAGCTAATGCGTGACATCACGGTCAATAAAAATCACGGTTGAAGTTATTAAAAGTGGATTGATTATTCACATTTCTAAACCATGGATTTGTGCTAGTCCTGATGGATTGATTTTAAATAATGGAGAAATAAATTCTGAGCTGGAAATCAAATGTCCTAGTTCCTGCAAAAATAAACCAATAATTGACTCTATAACTGGAATGCCAAACCTTAGTTATTTAAAATTTCAAAATAATGAAATTGTATTAAAACCTAGTCATGTATACTACACTCAAATTCAAATTCTATTATATTGTACTGGATTAAATGATTGTAATCTGTATATATTTAATGATATTCAACCTTTACTTCTGATTATAAAGAGAGATAAAAGTATTTTAGATAGTTTAATTCCTAAGTTGGATTTATTTTTTTTTATGTTTTATTTACCTAATATTTTCAATAGTGATATTGTTACATAAGATAACATTTTTGTCATGATACATATTTATAAAATTATAATACATACATTGTACAAAAAGAATAGTAGTAAAGACAACTTCATATTTTACTGTATTTACCCAATATTTGCAATAGTGATATTGTTACAAAAGATAACATTTTTGTCATGATACATATTTACAAAATTATAATACATACATTGTACAAAAATAATAGTAGTAAAGACAACTTCATATTTTACTGTTTAATAATTGGACTGCTCAAATTTACTAAAATACAACACATTAATAAAATATTATCAATGTATTGTAGAAAATCAGAGGTTATTTTGTTGAGTATGTTAAAAGTTTTCAATTGAGCAAAAAGTCTTTCAATGTGAATCCGTACGCTATCAACATTATAAGTATTTAGTACTTCTTCTTCTGTAAGTCTTCCATTGTGAAGCATTGGCGGCATTACTAGTATACTGTTTTGATTATTAACGCCTGTTTTTATACCAGGAAATCCCTTATCCGCAAGTACTTGGTCACCATATTCAAGTTTTTCCAAAAATCCAGAATCATTCGTAATAAAGCTGTCACTAGATCTACCTCCATATGATTTAGATAAAAAGCTCACCATTCCATTCGGAGTAATAGCTACAAGAACTTTGACGGTATAACCCCCCTTTAATGAGAATACATGCACACTCTTTGTTCTACTGGTTTTGGGTTGTTCCGTTCTCAGCTCAGTGCAATCAATTATACACCTGCAGTAAGGGTAGTGTTTTTTGAAAACTTCAGGTAAAGTTTCTTGTAGTGTGTTTTTACTTGGCCAAAAAATTACATTTCTACATCTCTGACTAAGGAGAAGTAAGCATTCAGAAAAAACCCTACTGGCAGTTGTTCTATGACTTAAGTAAGTTATGAATATATATTATAAACAGTCATATTTTATTTTAGGTTTGAAATATTATCATAAACACAAAAATGGGTTCTAAATTGAATAGTTAAAAGAAGAACAAAATTTTTAGTCACGGAGAACATTCCACATGTTTCGATACAAACATTTTTTTACAAAGGGACAAAGAATATAGTTATATGAAAGAATGTTCTGTAAATTTAACTTCCCCGATCATTATGAAGAGATTGAAAAAGTATACTAGAAAAATAATAGACTGCAGAGGAGCATACCTTTGAACTGAACCAAAGATACCGTAAAAGGGGGTGAGTAGGGTCATGGAGGTGAATCGGGTCAGTGTTTTGTATTTTTCTTATTTAATGTGATAACAAATAAAATAATAATGATATCAATAATGTTAATGTGTCTTTGGAAACTAGAGACGCATTACAAAATTATAGATATGTCACAATCATATGATATGATTTTTTCTATTATCAGTAGATAGTGCAATCTGAACCTTATCGTGTGTTGAATTTCCACAGCTCAACAAACTTTATGTGGAAATCGCAGATCAAAGTAAGTACAGTGCTTGAAATAAGTTTTTTAAGTTACTTAAACATATTTTGAACTCGAAAATATTTCTTTCGTTCAAATATTATAGATATTTATATTATTTTTAAAAATCTAAAAAAAAAAAACAAAAAAAAATTTGATTTTGGGGTGAATAGGGTCAGTGTGTATAATATATTAATTGGTACCTAGGTACCTATAGATTTCTTCCTACGTACGTAATATATTTTTGTTTTTGATGGATTTTTTTTTGTTTGGATTCAAATGTGTAGGTTGTTATAGGTAGGACATAACAATATATGTGTTTAAACTATTATATAGTGTATATGTCTAAACAACAAGTTATTTTTGTTGTTTTTTGTTTTAGAAATGCCACGAGAATATATACCCGATCCCAGATGCAAAAGACATAAATGGCATGAACCTGAATCAATAAACAAAGCTCTCATCCTTATCCAACAGGGTAACTCAATCAGGTCAGTGGCCAAAACTACTGAAATACCCTACAGTGTACTGCAACGCTACTATAAAAAATACAAAATTAACAATAATGTGGTAGTAAACAATATTGGTGGTCAAACTACTCTTCCTGAGAGTATGGAGAAAACGTTAGTGACCAACATAATTAAATGTGCTGATTGGGGTTATCCAATATCAGAACTAGAACTAAGAATGTTTGTTAAATATCACTTAGATCAAATTGGCTGTAATGTAAAACGCTTTAAAAATAATTATCCTGGTATGGATTGGGTAAAATCGTTTTTAAAGCGACACAAAGATAGAATCTCTCAACGTATGTGTCAAAACATTAAAAGAAGCCGAGCTGCAGTTAGTAAAAATATAATAAATGAATATTTTGATAATTTATCTCAAACTCTAGAGGGAGTTCCATCTAGCAATATAATAAATTATGATGAAACCAACTTATCAGATGATCCTGGACGAAAAAAGGTCATATGTAAAAGAGGCGCAAAATATCCTGAGCGAGTCATGAATCAATCAAAATCTGCTACATCTGTAATGTTTGCTGCATCAGCGGATGGCCAACTACTTCCTCCGTATGTTATTTATAAGTCTGCTCATTTATATGATACCTGGACTGAAGGTGGTCCTCCAGGTACCAGGTATAACAGGTCTCCTTCAGGTTGGATTGATGGCCAATTGTTCTTGGAATGGTATACTAAAATAATAATTCCATACTGCAGACGATTAAACGGAAAAAAAGTTATAATTGGAGATAATCTTAGTTCACATTTATCAAATGAAGTTATACGATTAAGTGAAAAACATTCTATTGACTTTATTTTTCTACCACCAAATTCAACACATTTAACGCAGCCTCTTGACGTTGCCTTTTTTCGGCCATTGAAAGGAGCATGGAGAAATGTTCTTGAAAATTGGAAAATATGTAGTAGAAATGGTAAAATGGCTGCAAGTATTAATAAAGATTGTTTTCCATCCTTACTTAAAAACACATTATGTAAACTTGTTACTAAAAATGGGGAAAATATTAAAGCAGGATTTGAAAAAACTGGAATATACCCACTAAACAGAAATAGAGTTTTAAATATGTTACCACCAGATACTGAAAATGATAATTCATCAATAAATGACATTTCTTTAGTGTCAGAAAATTTAACTACATTTTTGAAAGAATCAAGATATGGAACACCTGACACAACTAAGAAACAAAGGAAGAAAAGATTAAAAGTTCAACCAGGAAAAAGCATAAAAGGCAATGATTTTAATATTTCTGAAAGTGAGGATGACCCAGGAGAAGAAAACTTTAATGAAGCTGATACACCAGTGGACAATGAAATGATAGTTAATGAGGCCAAAGAAGATCAACAAAGCTCAAGCTCAAATTCAATTAATGTGGGCCAAATGTCTAATATTATTATAAAAAATAATATCAAAGAAGGCACATGGGTCGTGGTTAAGTATGGTGAAACTAAGAAATTATATTTTGTTAAAATCATACAAATATTACAAAAAGGTGAACTTTATGAAGGGTCATTTACCAGATCCAGTAACTTCTCAAGTAGCTACAACGATGAAACCAAAGATCCTATATATATATTTCCAGATATCATTGACTTCTACACATTTAAGCTAGATGCTATTGTAATGATAGTTCCTCCACCAAAGAGTCTGCGCAGGGGTCGAATGCAATTTACTGTGAAACTAAGTGATATTATAAATAGTATATAATACCTAGGTAGTAAAAAGTTACCTATGTTAAGTTTTATTGTTACCTATATGAATGTGCTTATTTAGTATCATTTAAAAATGTCATTACCTATCTAAAGTAAATTTAAAGACTGGACTGTTATATTACATATCTACCTACTTATTAATTGTTTAAGAATTGTATTAATTTGTTAAGTTTGATTAAAAACAGAAAGTATTATAATGTTAAGAAAAATTCTTATTTAAGTCAGTTTTGTTTATTTTTATTGTTATATGAGGGTATTTATTTGGTATTGTTAAAAAATATCATAACCACATGTTGTTAATTCAAGGACTGAATAAATTGTTAAATTAGTATTATAAATAAAAGAAAATATTATTATGCGTAGTAAATAACGCGTTTAAGAAAATTCTTTAAAAAGCCAGTGTTGTTTATTTTTATTTTTTATATGAAGGTGCTTATTTTCTATTGTTAAAAAAATATTATTACCTGCCTATTGCTTAAATATTGTATTATTAATTCAAAAATGAAAGAACTGTATTCATTAATTTAAACTTCAATTGTGTTTTTTTTTCATTTTTACTACTTTAAACTATTTTTCACTGATCAATACATTTTATAGGTATAACTTAACATTTTTAAAAATTTATATTTCTGACCCTATTAACCTCTGGGACAGTGTGAATAGGTTTTTAGAGCAAAATAATCATGTGACCCTATTCACCCCATAGTGGGTATGAATAGGGTCACATTTTTAAAAAAATATATAAAAAAATTCGGTTATGCGAATGTATTTTTTTATAATAAATTATATTGGGAGACATCTTACCTTTCATTAAAAAAAAAATAATGAACCTATGTTAAAAACTCTAAGAGATATTTTCAAAAAACCTTTAAAATTGACCCTATTCACCCCCTTTTACGGTACCCTAAACGGAGGAAAATAGAACATTATCAAGAGAAACTACTCAAGAATAATTTCATAGGACCATTTAATTCTGAACGTCAAACTATCATTTCTGTTAAAGACTTCCCTACACTTAAGTTTAAACCGGAACGTTGTAAAACTAAACGTTATAAAACTAAACATAATACAACTTCATTACTATTTCCAAAATTGAATTCAAAGATTGTTTTAGATTTTATTAAACAGCCATCTGTAAATAAACTCATGAAGCTATTGGATTTAATGTATACTGAATCTATACATTATCACAAACACTCAAATAATTTAACAAACAGTGAACAAAGTAAGCAAATATCTATAGAACTTGAAAAATATTTATTTGAATTATGTTATCAAAAATTCTGTGAATTATGGCTGGACAAAACACCTAATATATCATTATTATCAACGAAACCACTCAAGTGATTCATATGTACATTACTTAGACATACAAGATGTAGAACAACTATAAGTACCATGAATTAAAAAAAATTAATATTATACAATGGAGGTTTAACAGGGTATCCTAAAAAGCCACACCTAGTACTGTGTATTAATATAATTTGTAGCGTCTTCACTACTTTATTGAGGAAAAGTTCTAGAATGCTCTCTAAGAAGAATAGAAAAAAGGTAAGTTCCAATAAATACGAAAAACAGTCTATCAAACTTTATGAAAAGGCACAACAAAGAAAAAAGGTTTCTTAGATATTGTTAATGAATATAAAAAAATATTAAAAACTGACTCAGTTTTTTTCAAGTAGCTGATGTAAAGCATGCTTATGAAGGCATTTTAGATCTAGGGCAATACATAACAAAAGAAGATTAAGATACATGCGCGAATGATAATTACAGGTTTAAAATAGACGACGATATTAGTTTCCATGATTTCAATGATGACTTTGTTTTTGCTGATATGGAAAATCCTGCCAGTGGATCAACATTTTTGGATAGTATTCCTATTCCTAAGTTTGATAACTATTTTAATGATTTTAAATGTCCACCTAGTCTTCTTGAGTATGTTAAAGATGTCCAACCTAATAATTATTCTGGTCTCAATTATGATAAGGAAAATGGGTCCATAGAAGCAATACAGATAGAAGTTCATATTCAAAGTACTTCCAAAGAAGACCATAATATTCATATGGACATTTCTACTAATGATTTAGAGGGAAAAACTGCTACAAATTATTCAGGAGCAGAAACTTCTTCTGGGAATTTAGAACTAGAAAGACCTACAAATACTTTAGTAAAGAAAAGAAATTGTTCAAACAATTATTCAAAAATATGTGAAAAGTTTATATATAAATTATTATCAGATCCAATAACATTAACTAAATCAGAAATAAGAATGTTAAGAACTATTATTTTTGCAGATATGAACCCATATAAGGTTAAGTGGAAAATGCGGAAATCTTTTGAAAGATCAAAATGGTTTCAATTTATTGTATATTTCGGAAGTTTGAAAATGGGACTTTGTGATAAGCTTCACTTGGACTTTCTGGATTTAAAAGGCAAATATATATGTGATATGATAGATATCGAAAAATTATTGAAATCAATACAACTTGATTCCTGCGTTTTGAAAGAATATTTTACCTTTACAGATGTAGAAAATTTTTTAATTTGGCCATTGGGTAAAATGATTGTTAATAATGTTATTTCACAAAGGAGTCCAGCCATTACCCTTTTATTTAAATTTGTTAAAAATATCGTTAATATAGCATCCAATCAAGTAAAAGATTCCTGTCGCAATTCTGGACTAAGAATTGTATTGAATAAAGAATCTCTTTTTGAGAGTTTATCTAGTAGTTTATCGGATAGTAAAAGACGTCCTTTCTGAGCAATCACTGAAATATGCAAATATTCATACTTATCCATCACCAGTCGATAATGATGAGTTTTCAAATGATGCGCCAGGAACATCAAACTAGGAACATTTTTGTGTCACAAACACAGGGTTTTGTATAAAGAAAAACAGTTCGAATGTAGAAATATGTAAGAGTATGGTTAATATTCTTAAATCAGATGATTCTATTCATCAGTCATGGAAAGAATGTAATAATTCAAGTAGGTTTATATCCAAGCTTTTGAAAGCTGGTATCACATTGCCAATAAAAGACAGCAATACTGGACACGGTTCAAAATTTGTTGAAGTATATGGAAAATGGTTTTGTGAAGAATATCTTGAAGATTATAAATTTTATAAATTGGCAGTAAGTATTTTGAAAAATATTTTTCTTTATATTGATACTGCAAGTGGATGTACAGACATTAAAGTTGAAGATGCAATTAATAATGCGTTAATGATATTGTATGATCAACCGCGTTTTGCCAAGGCGTATTGAAACGTATCTCAATACCAAATACCCTAAGTGTTTGTCTAGTTCAAAACATGACAGTACTAATGATACCGAAAACCAAAGTGATTTTAAGAGGTATTGAAGAACTGCAAATTGAACCAAATGTAAATGTTCAAACGGACCCGACAGATACCAATAATGTTGATATGTCACTTGTTCCTAGCAATATACCCATATCTAATGTGTTTGATGTTTTAAATAATGTAAATATTAAACATTTAGTTACTCCAGATCTTCAATCTACAAATTATGACATAAACGACCCGATGGACAGCAATAATGTTGATATGTCACTTGTTCCTAGTACATCTAATGTGTTTGATGATTTAAATAATATTACAATTAAGAATTCTGTTACTCCAGATCTTCAATCTATAAATTATGACATAAACAGTGATTTTCTTCTTCAAAATCTTATAAATGAAAATTCTAATAATTTGATGGAAATTATTGGTGATATTGATGATGGTACTAATATATTTAATAATCCTGATACTAACATGATGGATATTGATGATAAATGATATAATATGAAGAATAATATTCTTGGTTTTAATGAGTTTAATGAAGATAGTCCATTTGATGATGTCATTCCAACAATAGTTATGTCACTGGACTAAGATTTATCCAATGGTATATTAGAGTCGGGTAACTTGGAATTTCAACCAACCACGAATACGGAAGAAATTACTCAAGTACCAATAAACTCAATTGATTCATTTATTATTTTTGGAGAGAAGGGAGAAGAGACAAAGTTGCTAAGTAAAAAAAAACTAGGTAGTCATCTATAAGACTTCAGCATTATAAATATGTGATATCATAAATAAATGCTAAGTTAACTTAAATTTAAAAAAAACTAGTAATTTATAATACTTAAACATTATAAAGATGTAATATCAAGAATAAATGCTAAGTAAATTAAATTTTAAATTAATTGATTCTATCTCAATCATTTATTTACTTTGCGAGAATTTATTTTCTTTACAAATTAATAATTAACACTTTTTTATAAAACAAATTTAGTAAAATTTGTCATGGAAATTTGTTAAATAGCCCAGTTATGAATAGACATTTTTATTTGTCGAAATATATAAATTCTAGCCAAGTAAATGATTGAGATAGAATCAATTAATTTAAAATTTAATTTACTTAGCATTTATTCTTGATATCACATCTTTATAATGTTTAAGTATTATAAATTACTAGTTTTTTTTAAATTTAAGTTAACTTAGCATTTATTTATGATATCACATATTTATAATGCTGAAGTCTTATAGATGACTAGTTTTTTTTTACTTAGCAATTTTTTACATGGAGTTCGACGAAGTGTTTTTGTTGGGATATCAGTAGTTTTTTTACAACATATTTTTATGTACTGGCATTTAATATGTAATGTTTTATATGCCCAAGTGTGTGCCCATCTTAATAGATGCTTAACTATTTTAATAACTCTTGGAATAGCATATGTATAATTTAAGTTACATAACATCTCATTACAATACCAAGATAGTTCTGGAAGTTCTATGTTAAATGGCTGAAATAAATTCATTATTTTACCATTTTCATTTATTTCAAGTTTAATTGTATTCATAGAACTCAATGGCTTGTAAACTGTATCTGTGTAAAATGGTTCTGTATACTTGGAATGATAAGATTGCCCTAAGATAAATTTAAGAAAATTGTAGTTTAGTTCATCATTAATATCTGGAATACTAGCTGTATAGTAAATGTTCTTATTTATTACTTTTTTTAGTTTCTTAAATGTCTTTTGATAAATAATAATGTTTTGCTTTCTGAATTTAAATACCCATTTCAAAATCCTATCTATAACAATTCTAGACTTATACAGTGGCATATTTAATTTATGCATAAGTTTATTAGTCTACTTTTTTACGCTTCCATAAAATGGAAATATTTTTTTGATTTCTTAGAAATTTTTTTTGTGGTTATGGTGATCGAATTTTTTATTTAACGTTCATCCATACACACTGTATTAGTGGTTTTTTTTTTTTTTAAATAATGTCTCCTTTTTCGTAACTTCTGTTTGTATGTCTTAGAAACCATTTTAGAAATAAAGAATCACAAATTATAATATAAATAAATAATATAGTACGGCCTACTACAACACTGTAACAAACGAGACAACAAATAAAACGTCTTTTTTCTATCGGCGCGGCGGCGAATAAACACATCTACACCGAACGTCACCAGAAACATGAATGTCGATAACAGAAATAACGAATGTCGAATACGATAAACGAAGACTCGGGCAAGGCGGGAACCGCAAGTCGCAACCGCTGCCCAGTGTACGACCGCGACGAAAACGTATACGGAATAGAGGGGGTAATACGGTCTCGTACTCTCGTGCGCTGCTGCGTGAAACGTAATAACTAAAAACGGTCGAGCCTCGAGCACAATATCTTTTTGCTTCAAAAATACTTGACTTTTTTGCTAATATATTCGTTATTATTCAACCATTTTTTTCGAAAATGACAAAGGTATAATCTACAAATCATGCCCGATCTATTGATACCACAAACAGACCAATCCGTTCATTCATTAGCATAGGCGCAATTTCAGTTTTTATCTTGGAGGGGCTTAACATATTTAAATGAAACAGACCCGTGGTGGGCTTTGCCCCCCCCCCCCATTCAAGTACCAATATGGAAATTTCATTTTTTTTTCACCCACTTTCCCACATTTAATATATTATATATTATAATGCATCTATTAATAAAGCTAAAAATATTTGTACGAAAAAATAACAACATTTAGGTAAATAAATGTAATATATATTTATTTATTAAGTATATTATTATAATTGTAACCTTCGGTTAGAAATTGCAAATGTATCTAATATTTTTTCGTTGGACAATTCATTTGATAAATCTCGTTCTATATAAATTAATGACAAATTTGTAAATCTATCTTGATTCATAGATGTTCGAAGCCAATTTTTAATCTTTCTCATTGCTGAGAATGATCTTTCACATATTGCAGAGCTAATTGGAATTGTTAAAGATAATGATAACAGTTTATATAAATTAGGATAAAGCTCTGCATCCATGATTAATTTGATATCTTCCAAAGTGAAATTGGGGTTTCTACGAGACACACAGTTTTTTACCACAAGCATTTCTGATTGAAGGGTATTTACATCCACATTCAATAAGTCCTAAAAATTAAATTATAAAAATTGATCAGCATATTGATATTTAAAAACATTTATACAATATAAAAACTATACTTTGTACTGTTCAATAAAACATTGACTCTCATAATAATTCATTTTATGAAAGTAATCAATAGATGTTGCCAATTCCAAGCTATTTGATGAAAATCTCTTATTAAAATGTATTATTAAAGTGTCTATAATTTGATAATAATGAGTCCTCCAATAACTTTCTGTATATTGATTAAACTCATTTTGATTTTGTTGTTCAGAACTTGTAGTTGCAAAAACATGAAAATCTTCTAAATTACTTGTTGATTGGCGTTGACGTTTACTTGTTTTACTATTGGGACCTTTAATAAATAATATAGATCAAACATAAGAATATTAGATATTTCGAGCTAGATAACTAGGTATTTATAATTTATAACATAATACAGTAACAATAATTAACCTATAAAAACTAAACTGCTCAAAAAACATAAAATAGCAAATGCTTAATGATAAAACAAGACACCTAATATTTGACCTGTCCTTAATTAGTAACAATTGTTATAAAAATCAATAATTAAATGCACCTATGTCCTAGACATGTTGATGTTTATATTTATAAAATACATTTAGGACAAACTCAAATTTTATTACCTGTGAAATCTGGTATTATATTATTGATTTTGGTAAAATTGATTATCTTTTCCCATATATTATGAAATTCAACTTCTGTGCGTAAGGACTCAAAGGTTTTAATGACTCCTTCAATTAAAGTAACAGCGCTTCCTAATGTAGCATCTTTTTTTTGTAGCTGAGTAGACAATATATTTATAATTTGTAATACTTCTTCCAAAATAATGAGATTAACAATAAATGATGGTTTAGTAATAATAGTCATAATGCCTATAAAATAATAAATTATGGTTTTATTATATAGATTTTATATTTTACAATAGTTATAACTCAAGTAGAATCAAAATTATTATTCTTACCTATTGCTTGTACAACATCTTTATTTGTGGAAGAGTTGATTTCATCATTTAACAATGTAACTATAGCTTTATAGTTTAATTTTACAGCAACACAGTTTCTTACACGACAATTCCAACGTGTATCACTTAAACGAGTCAGAGAAGTTTTTTTGATACCTAATTTTACTTGAATCTCGGTGAATTTTGCATCATTACCCGGGTGTGAAAAATAAACATACAATGTCTCAAGACAATTAAATACTATTCTAGTATCCTGAAAAAAAAAATTCTTATTAGTTATTACTTAATAAACTAATGAGTATACATTTGTATTATTAATATTATATTCCTCATACCTTTACCAATTTGCACATATCTAGAACAATTAGATTAATTCGATGTGCCATGCAATGAGTGTATACAGCATATGGGTATTTTGATTTGATTTTTTGTTTTACCCGACATAACATTAGCACCGTCATATGCTTGGGCTACTATAGGTACATTTATTTTATTTATTTCAAAAAAACTGACCATAGCAGTAGCCAAAGCATCTGCGTTTTGATTCTCGGACACATCAATAAAACCTAAAAATCGTTCATACACTTTTAAATTCTTGGTATAACGTACACAAATTGACATCTGCTCTTGTCTGAAACATCTAAAAAGATAAAACAATCTCAAATATAAAACCTATTTGATATTACCTATAATATACCTAATCAGTATGGCAGTATGATATTGAATACAGTATTTGTATTTAATTTTGATATTACCTTGCTTCATCACACATGACACTAAAAAATCCACTTTCTATCAGCTCATTGACAATTGTGTTTTTTATCATTTGGGCAGAGATGTTTATAAGGTCATTTTGGATTGACCAACTGGTATAATTGGTTTTTTCGTTGAATATGGTAGAAAAATCTTCATTACATTTAGACAGTAAAACACAAGCTTCCTTAAAATTACCTTAAAACAAAATTATAGTATGGCATAAGAATAATATTTTATATTATAAACTTTGACTTCCATCAATGTAAAAATAGAAATCAAAATTAATTTTTTTTGCTACTGATACATCTTAAAAATAAAAGTATAATTATTTTAAAACCATAATATTGAAGACTGAATCTAAAATGTTATACCTTGGTTAATTGATGTTTTTTCTTCGTTATGCGCACGGAATGCTAGTCCTTGACGTTCCAAATACAAAACTACATCAATCAGATTTTTTATGTAAGCTCTATTTTTTAACACTTTTTCACGATATGCACTTGCCATCTGAGTGTGTACAGAACCTGATTTTATGTTCTGAGTATATGAGGCCCATTTTTCTGAATTAATCAAATGTTGTTTAGTTGTAGCATGAATTTCTAATTTTGACTTTGAATTAAATTTGGAAGTCTTAGAAATGGATCCACTTATCTAATTATAAATATTAATGCACAATTTAACATTTTATGTAAATAAAAGAAAAAAATCAACAAGCTTAAGTCTATTTGGAATAATTAAAAAAATAAAACACACCTTTTTCCAATTTCTAAACCCTTTGGTAACAAAAGTATCTTCTGACCTCCCAGTTCCAAAAACTCTACATGGATAGCAAAAGACAGCATCCTTTTGAATACTGTATTCAAGCCAAGGAAAACCATCAAACAATGTAGATGAAAATCCTCTGTTTTGTTTGCCAAAAACAGTTTTTGGATATGTCTAAAATTAATTATTAAGCAATTAATTATAACTAGGTTATTACTGAATATGTTAATTATAAGTTATAACTCATAACATTAGTAATTATTACTTATGACTTATAAGTAATAATGTACTAGTAATAACGTAATGTTTATAAATTAATTTATGAAAGCATACCTGTAACTTTGGGCGAATCGGGCCTGTATTTATATCCCCAATATCAATACTCTCAGAAGGCAACTTTTGTACATCCGGTAAAACAGGTGGATCATCAGGATCAACTTCAGCAACAGAAGTATTTTCAAGTCCTTCCTGAGGTTCATTATTTTCACACAAGGATTCATTTTTATTACTTTTAAAATTGAAAATACCAAACACTTTATTATTTTTATCCATTTTAATTTTTAGTAGTAGAAGCACTGAGCAGACGAGCAGTACACCACGTTTATTACAAAAACGAAATAAAATTATTGTGAATGATAATTATTGTTGACTATTGAAGATTTTAAGTTTTAACTAATAAACCGATAACTGATAAGCAAATAGCAATAACGTTATGAGTGCTTATGATTTAATCTTAGAAATTAGGATTTAATGACTGGAGTTATTGGAAAACCAAAACATATTCCAAAAATAGACTAGGTACTATCAAATATCAATTTATTGACTATAATATTGAATACGGGTCTCCAGAAGGGCGGGGCATACGGTATGTATACAACATACGTGAAATAAGAATGATAAACAAGCCGATCCCGAGCAGTGTACTACGCCAAAGACACTATATAGACAGTAATTTTATTGTTTTCGTAATACGGCGGGTAAATAAGGTCTAACATCATGTTGTTGTATGGGTTTGTTTCATGTTTCCAGATTTAAACATTAGAAATAATTTTTTTCAAACGACGATTACGGTATTATGTATATTAGATAATTAATGAAGGATTTAATACTTCAATTTAAATATAAATTTTTGGAGGGGCTAATTTTAATATTGGAGGGGCTAAGCCCCTCCAAGTCCCCCCCCTAATTGCGCCTATGTTCATTAGGTCTGTAGCCCTGGCTAAAGAAAACGGGCAAATTTACACACATTCAATGGGCAAACTCTGGCTCGTGTAATATACAACGGTACCTAGTGACCGCTTCGCTTTTTTTTTTACTTAGCTTCGCGCCACTACCGTCGCGCTGGATACTACATTTACCTATAAAATTGTATAAATTCTAAGAAAAAGTGTATCCATTCTCAATTATGTGTATTCCTAATGGATTTTACTCTTATATAGTTACATCTTACATTCTTACATCATAATTATTTAATTGAGTTACTATATTATTATTGTCTGAAGCTAATAATTGTAATTTTATAATTAATGATAAAAACATAATATTATATTATTCTATAATTGTGTATAATAATATTTCGATTTAATATATGTGTTTGAATACTGATTTCTTATCGAGTTATAACTGTATTTAACAATCCAATGGGACATTGCCACATTGGTGCCTACCTACCTATAAATATTTCCCGTTTCGTTTTTTTCACGTTTAATTTTCCTTAGTTTGAATGATCAGCAGTTACATATGCTTTATAATCTATATATATAAAAATGAATGTATGTCAGTGTGTCAGTGTGTCTGTGTGTCTGTGTGTCCATGTTACCATGGTTACCAAGGTTGCCATGGTTACTAAGGTTACCAAGATTTCATATCAATCTATATATATAAAAATGAATGTATGTCAGTGTGTGTGTGTGTGTGTGTGTGTGTGTGTGTGTGTGTGTGTGTGTGTCCATATTACCATGGCAACCATATCTGTATATAAAAAACAGTAAGCTGATTGACTGCTTCAACGCACAGCTCAAACCATTGGACGGATCTGGCTGAAATTTGGCATACAGATAGCTATTATAATATAGACGTGCGCTAAGAAAGGATTTGCCAAAATTCGCATTTTAAATAGGTGCTGAAACAGGGACATTGAGATTCACGATAGAAATTGGAAATTTTATTTTTATTTATTTATAGTTGCCATTGGTTACAGTCTACATTAGAAATTAGCATTTATTTATTGGTTGCCATTGGTTATTCGGGCAGATCAGGTACAAGCTTGCATCAAATCGAATTATTGAACAATGCTTACCAGGGTGGCAGAGTTGCACTTACCGCAGAAAATTACACCCAAAAGGAGTTCAACAATCATAATTTTTTTAAGAGTTGCGATTTTTTACGAGCAACCAAATTTATTATATTAATCCACAGTATTACATCAAAATAAACTTGGTATAACTTTGATACTTTAGAGTTAAATCATACACTTCCGTACAAACAGCACGGGGTCCGCGATCTACCGCAGGTAGATTGCCTACCTGATAATGTACTGCTGCGATTCAGAATTTTTATTCAGGGCAACGGGAAAGATAAGATAAATTTTGAACACCATACACGTTAATGAATTGAACAAAGTTTGAGTAGGTAGTATTGAGTTGATCCATTTAACGGGCGACGAAGTGCACGGGATCAGCTAGTAAATAAATAAAAATGATTGGTCTAACTGTTGCTGTTGCTTAGCATAATTTACACATAAATCACAACTGTGCTTTTCAAAACATTTTTTTATTAAATAGCCACAAACATAGGTATTGGCATTTTGAGCAGGAAAGCTTAGTTCACGATAATCTGTGGTACCAACTTGCAAATTAGAAAAATCAAATTGAGTTTTTTCTGGGAACACCACAGATGAATTGTTAAGTGGAGGAGTAATGTATCCAATAGTAGTTAAAACTTCAGCCATGTCATCTAAGTACTTGGATCCTTCTGAATGTTTAAAATAGTTGAGGAAGAAAATTTTTTTAAAACTCCAAAGAAATTGTATGGGTGTAGGAATCACATTATTTCCATTTTGGTTACGAAATTGCCTAAAAAGATTTTCGAGGCAATCTTGGTTGAATCTGTACATACATAATACAAAGTCTGGTGTTTTTGACATGTCATCCCACAACTTCAACAACGAACTAATTGTTATAGTCCATCCATTTAAAAAAATGCATGCGTTTTGTTACATCATTAATTATAATCTGACCATCGACTATTTTTGGATCTAGTACTTTCATGTTTTTGAAAACATCAAGCATATACACTAAATGTTCCCTCTGGTTCGGTGTGTTTTTAAAAGATCGATTAAAATCTTTGCTTCCAGATTTTTTTTTTGAATTTAACAAGTCAAATAATTTGGCCATATGTTCAATAAATGATATTGTAGTATTCTCAGATAAAGGCAATGTACCACCTTGAACACAACATTTCATACCGGCTGCTACAGTGTTGCTAAAAATGTGACATGCATATTTGACCTTCATTTTCTGAAATGGTCCAGGGTTGATATGAATTTCGGTCAGCTTCGGTGCAAGGCGATTTAAGCCTCGGTCAGATTTATAAAAATCAAGTAGATACTTTTTATTGGTAGTACTATTTAAAAATGTTAATTGGTACTTGAAGAAGTTATTTCTAGTAGACTTGAGCAAATGTGGCACATCAAACACATAAAATATTGTTTGGCCATTTACATAGAAAAATGGACGTTCACATGACACATTCATTGTCTTGGCAAAACTGCTAAAATTAGATCCTTGGTCACTTGTTAATACTCTAATCCTGAGTGATGTTTTTTGAATACGACTTTATAACTGCAAATATGGTATTTTGTAGATCAAGCCCAGAAAAACTATTGTTGATGAAAAAATATGCGGCAGGCTGCTTCCAATTATAATTTATGCTTCTTAACATAAAACAGAGTACATGTTTTGCTGGCTCATATGTTTTTCTATCGTATGAATTATTAAATCCTACAATATAATCATGTGATAAATTATAAAATAAATTTGTTTTAATTGACATCTCATCAACACATAAAACACAATCCTTTGCATCGTCTTTTAAATTGTTCATCTTCAACTCTATGGTTTCAAATATGACATCATTTACTCCAGGCATTATATTAATTTTCTGTGTTATTCTACGTTAAGTTCTTGGACTGGGTAATAATAATAATGATTTTAAAAAAGTGTATACTTGAGGACCAAAAAAAAATATTGTTAGGGCCAACTGCTTGATTTGATTAGAATACCGCATGCCTTGAGGTTTTCTCTTACTCATTTGCACATACTGTTTAATAACCATGCTCAGGTTAAGAAGTAAATGTGCTTTAACAACTTGATTAAACAAATCTACTGAGGTAACATCTATTTGATTTGCACAATTTTTCTTGTGTACTTCTTGACTCAATGCTTCAAATTTCTGTTCTAATTGTTCATATTTATTTTTAATAGTTTGAAGTTGAGCTATATACTTTTGTTTTCTAGGTGTATCTAATGTGAGATATTGAGTTGTTTGTGTAGATGAGGAAATTGATTGATCGGCCGAATGAGATGAACTTTGAGATGTTGAACCTAGAAAAAATGCAAATTAAAATCATTTTTAGTTTTCATACAGTAAATTATTTATATTTTATTTTGACTTAGTAAAATTGGCAAATTCAATAGTATGTAATATTAATAAAGCATAGTATTAACATAATTACAAAAACTTAAAAGCAATAGAAAAATTTTGTTTTAATGGTGTACTTGTAGAAACTGAAGCATTAAATATTGGATCTGAAATACTTGTATCTAGACATGTCATAGAATTGTAAGAATCTTCTTTGTGAATCATAGCTATATATATATAGATAAGAAAATTCTCAGTATAAGATAAAATATTCAATAGGTAATAGCCATTTGGTAAAATTGTAATTACTGAAATCAGTAGGAACAGCATGGGGCAGTAGAACTTTTTTTTCTCTGTTTTTGTACATGCACTCCAGGAAATGATCTGAACAGACCTTAAAGTATATCAATGATTTTCCAATTAAATCTTCTCGACTACAATTTATCAACTATTGTTTCGACCTAAAATGGTAGTAATAATTAGATACAAATATTGATACGCATTAATTATTAGTAACAGCTAACGTTCTACTTACATAAATTCATCATTAGGGAACTTAAACACTTTACACTTCTTCTCGGTGTACTTATACGAATTTATACAACCTTTCACAAGGCATACATACACCATGATGATTATATAAATATAAATCGCACAAAAAATACAAAATAAATGCTCGGTATAAGCACAGAATATTACAATAATAGCACAATTTTCAGCACTCAGTTATTGAACAGAATATAACAAATAGTAGTGTAGACGCGTAGTAGCACAGAATATAACAATGTAGTAGTCAGTTCGTCAAATGACTCAAAAACTCAAAAAACAAACAAAAAAAAAAAGTTAATGTAATTGAGATAACAATAAAACGTGATATCATAGCAAATTCAGTGCTACCAAAAATTAAAACGTTAAAATTTCATATTTTCTCATATACTTGCCCCTACTGCGGACCTGGAGTGGTTGATTCTTTATTATCAGCCCGCCGCCGAGTAGTGTCCTACCCCTGGTAACCAGTGCCGGCGCTAGGGGAGGACAAATGGGACATTTGTCTAGGGCCCCGTGGTTGTTAAAGGGCCCCGTGATTTTTAATTATCATCTTAATACAAATACGTGGTCTACCGTCGTGTATTGCATTATTCTGCCTGCCGCTGTCGCGTACTTAGATATTAAACAATTTATTATTTTATTCAAACATTTTGATGAATTAATTTATTTTTAATTGATGATGTTATGAAGTTGTTAAAATAAATGTAAATTAATAAAATAACCAGCCCTTATGAATTTATTAGCCTACGATTTTCCACTCAAAGGTTTAACTGAAACTCACGCTACGCCACTAATTCTGTGCTGACCGAGGTTTCATCAGGAGGAATCGCACTCGAATGTGTTGTCTCCGTTTACAAAAGTAGGTAAGGTAAAGTGGGGTAAGTGTGACGCAAAAATGAAACGTTAATTTTGAATTTGACAATACTTTTTTTGTTTTTAACTTAAAGTTGTTATTGTTCCATAATGTAACACCTCTAGATATACATAATTGGAATTTATAGTCAACAAAGTTATATTATCACTCACCTAAGAATAATTTTTTTTTTTAATTTTAAAACGTCACACTTGCCCCTTTTCATGGGGCAAGTGCAAAATCAGATTGTTTTTGCCGGTGTTTCCGAATTGTGGACAAAGTGACAAAAACCATGTGAGTTGCGGACGAAATCTAAAAAGGTAACATACGAATTGCGGTCACAAATATAAGATACTAATTGCGGACGAATTTCCTATTATTATTTTTGATATAGCGATCGTGGACGTTGGTAAATTACTATTTGATATTTAAGATTCAGATTGTGCCGGTGCTTTTGAAACCTCTGCCTATATGTTTAATCAGTTTATCGACAACCATACTGGCTTGCTGTTCGTTTGATGTTCGTTTATTTTCTGTATAAAAATGCATACTGAAAAACTTAAAGAATTACATGTGATTTACGGGTTTAAGTTCCGTTTTCATCGCATAATAAAAAATGAAATTCAACGGTGGACGTGTATACAAATAAAAGGTGTAATGCATTTTTAAAATTTAATCACCCTAATATACATCAATTGATCGAGGCCTTAAATGAAGTACAGACTAGTAGCTATATAAAAATGAATTGTTCTGCTGTACGAAATTTAAAACGAGCAAAAAAAAACTATTGAAAGGAGGCATTTATTAGCAAACAAATGTTGTAATATTCACGTGGTGAAATCAGTAGAATATCATATATACAGGCCGTTTCAAAAAAATGTTTACCACAGATCTATAAAAACAATGACGACAATCTATAAATATTTTATAAACAATTTTTTCCATAAAATTAAAACAATAAATAATTCAACAACATTTTAAAAATAACGATTGCTCTTTTGCAAGACAAATATTTTTAACCCCGCCTATCAATTTTTTTGGTAGCTTGTCCCAAGTCCTGAAAAAGTGGTGAAAGGAAATATTTGTGTCCACAACTAACGTGGTATTTATTAAAAAAAAAAAGCTCTGTACGCAATTAGTATTATGACAACGAAACTCGTGTCCGCAATTGTTATGTTATAATTCCTGACCTGAATAATTCGTCCGCAACTAGTATGTGTCCGTTTTTGCTATTATTATTACATAAAATTATATATGGGGCAAGTGAATAACAAAGATAAAAATAAGCTTTAATTTGATTTTTGTTTCATTAAAATATCTTGATTCATTAAGAATTGACAGAGCATTATTTAAATTTAATTATTTACCTATATTATACAAAAACAGTACTTTTTTTAAAATCCTGATTTAAAAAAAAGCTAAAATTTCACTACTCTCTGAGAACCTAAAGGCTATTAGCTCTGACCAGGGCCCCGCAATACCTAGCGCCGGCACTGCTGGTAACACATGAACATTGGCCAAGAGGACTTGGAGGCGTGATCGTGCCAATCGGAGAGACAGCTTGAGCTTATCAAGAGGGTGATAGAAATGGAAGTACTGTTCCGAGGACAGCCAATGTCATCGTGACGAGCTCCGCCTAATGAGATCGCACGCGTTAGGTATCATATACCTTCATATACCTAGGTAATTTACCGTCTATTTTTTTCATGCGTCTACGCTTCGTACAAGATACCAAAATACGACCAGCAGTTTGAAATGTTTTTGCCGTGGTATAGAGGTACATAATCACCGGCTGTCATGGTATAGTGGTACATAATCATCGGCTGTCGTGACGTGACCGCCGACCGGCAGTTTATTTACATTGCCGGATATAGGACGTGGTACCTACTAGCCGTCGCTTTCCAGTGTAGTCCATTGCCTATTCTTATCTTGGTAACTATCACAACGATTCCATACTATAGAAAGTAGTATAGAAGACTGAGAGTGTGATGAAAAATTAGGACAGCGCACAAGGCTGATGTGTAGTACCAATAGATAATATAAGAAAAGATAGGATATTATAGGATGTCGCCAGAATATTTATAACGCGATAATGAACACTTTAGTTTTTTGAGGTTTTAAAGCGTGGACTGACATTATAATATCTTAGTCCTTATAAAATAAAAAAAAATATCAAAAATCATGAGATTAATGAAAATAAAATGTTGAAAATGAAAATGTTCACAAAAATAAACTCTATAAAATGGCTATCTTCGATTGTTTCAAAACTGACAAAATATTTTTTTAACAAAAAATTAAAATTAAACTAAAAAATAAAATATGTGTAATTCTTGTCTCAGTGAGTCTAATACAAAAAACAGATTTGTGATATATTTATTATCTCAGGAGATATCGCAATGAATAAATTCTTGAGTGACACTCTGTATACTTATTTATAACAAACTAGCTGATCCCGTGCACTTCGTTTCCCGTTAAGAGGACGCCACACCCGCATGTGTTGTCTCCGTCTTACAAATGTACAACATAGCAAAATCTCTTTTGCGAGGGACAACTTTTCTCGCACCATATTTGTTGTAGAACTACCAAATTTTCACAGCACTTAAAGAAGAACTTTATCTGTGCAACAGCGTGCTCTTTTTTTCAATAACATATATAAAATACAAGTTATTTGCTTCTAAACATTTGGTTTTTTAATTTGCTTATAAAAAATGATTGGATGGTCCAATTGAAAAAAAGAGCACGCTGTTGCACAGATAAAGTTCTTCTTTAAGTGTTGTGAAAATTTGGTAGTTCTACAACAAATATTGTGCGAGAAAAGTTGTCCGTCGCAAAAGAGTTTTTGCTATGTTGTACATGGGTAAGACGGACACAACACATGCGGGTGTGGCGTCCTCTTATGTACCAACTCTATATGACTCAAACATTGTTCAATGCGTTAATTAATATTCGGTGTATGATGTTCTAGATTTATCTTAACTTTTCTGTTGCCCGGAATAAAAATTCTGAATTGCAGCAGTACATTATCAGATAGGTAATTTACCTGCGGTAGATCGCGGACTCC